AAAATCTAAATCTAAAGTCTAAAATCTAAATCTCAGGTGGTGAAGACGCTCTGCGAGCCGTGCTTCCCGCCGCACTATGACATCGTCAACCGGCTCGTGAAGCTCTACCACGACTGCCTGTGCACGCGCCTCGGCGACCTCGTCCGAGACGAACTCGATGGCAACGAGATCGTCACGCTGCTCAACTGGGCGAACGCGTACGCCGGCGCGGAACTCATGCGTCACCCGACGCTGATGCTCGACCCGGCGACACTCGGACCGCTGCTGGAGCCGGCAGTCGTGACGGCGCTCGCCGACAAGTACGTCGCGACGCTGGGAGCGAACATCGATGATTGGCGCGCGAACACGCTGCGCGCCGAGACGAAGGACTGGAATCGCGATGCGGAGCCCGAGGCGGATGCGCAGGGATACTTCCAGACTCCCATGCCGATCATCTTGTTCCAGATGATCGAGCAGCACCTGCAGGTCGTGGCTGAGATTGGGGAGGAGATGGTGGCGCGCGTTCTCGCTCTGTGCATCGAGAAGGTGAGGAAGCTATATCGAACCTGCGTATAAGGGTCGCTCGGGAGAAGTGTCCTTTATACACAGGTGGCGGCCGAGATCGGGGAAGAGATGGTGGCGCGCGTTCTCGCTCTGTGCATCGAGAAGGTGAGGAAGCTATATCGAACCTGCGTATAAGGGTCGCTCGGGAGAAGTGTCCTTTATACGCAGTTGACCGTTTTATAGAGGTGGTTTCACCGTGTGACTGCCACCCCACAGAACTGCGAGGTGTCCTCCAGCTTTGACTGTACACGCCACAGATATTAAGGGCGTGCTCATCAACAACGAGCAAAACCATCTTCATTAGTTCTAAACTGATGCTGTTTATGAACCTTTTTTTAACCTTTTGTGAACCTTTATGTTCGTTTTGTTTTCAGCCGTCAGATGGCGCTGTAGCACACTGGGTTTTGCCGTAATGTCGTTATTCATTTACATATATAAATTAAAATATAATATTGTGTAATATAATCGTGTAATCGTAATAATGTGTTAAATCTGAGATAATCTATTTTTACTCTAGGTGACCGAGTTTGCGCGCATGTACCGGGAGGCGGTGGAGCCATACAAGCGTCACCATGACGACGGTCGCCGTAGCGCCCCCGTTGACAGCACGAACCCGTTCCTACAGCAGCCGCAGCAGCCTGAGCAGACGACCCCCTACTACATACAGTACATCATCGCCATCGTCAACAACTGCGACGCGTTCTGCGAGCTCGCGCTCAAGCTGGGTCGGCGCTACGCGACGCCGCCGCCAGGGGGCGCCAGCGACGGCATCGCGCGGCTCGTCGAGTCGTTCGAGGCGACGCTCGCCGCCTGCTCTCGCCATCTGGAGGACGAAGTCTTCCTGGACGTCGACACTCATGTTCAGCAGCTCATGTCGAAGCAGTGGCTGTCTGCGGTGGATGCCATCGACACGATCTGCGTCACGGTGGAGGACTACAGCACAGACTTTGTTCACCTGAAGCCGCGACGGCTACGCTCGGTCATGCGCGCGATCGAACGCCGCCTCGTCATCGAGTATCTCAAGGCCGCGATGCAGCGCAAGATCGCGTTGAAGTCGTACGAGGAGCGGCGGCACGCCGCGGACAAGATGGCGCGCGAGGCCGACCAGATTGAGCGTCTGTTTGAGCGTCTGGCTGCGGGCGGGGACGAGGGAGAGAGGTCACCGTGCGACGCGCTGCGGCAGGTCAGCGAGCTTCTCGCGCTCAGGGACACGTCGATGCTTTCGCTCGAGATCCACGGCCTCGTCAAGAACTACCCGGACATCAGCGTCGATCACATGGTCGCAGTGCTGTCGCTGCGCGGCGACACGGGAAAGTCGGAGGTCAGGCAGATGGTCGCTGACCTCATGCCCATTGTCGAGCCGACGGCGTCTCCTCGGACAATATTTTCGGACGTGCCGTCGCCGCAGAGCCTTCTAGATAAACTCAAGAATGTGACGTCAGATAGCAGTGTGTGAATGAGGGGGTGTGCCCTTACAGCCGTGGGAAATCATAATAGAAATCGATCTTAATCAATAATCATAACCCAATAATCAATAATCAGAATCAGAATGTGACGTCAGATAGTAGCATGTGAATGAGGGGGTGTGCCCTTACAGCAGTGGGAAATCATAATAGAAATCGATCTTAATCAATAATCATAACCCAATAATCAATAATCGTAATCATAATCAGAATGTGACGTCAGATAGCAGCATGTGAATGAGGGGGTGTGCCCTTACAGCAGTGGGAAATCATAATAGAGGGCCTGCTTGTTATAGCATGTAACCATAGACAGCATGTAACTATATATTACAGTTGTAACTAGATTACATGCAACAAATTACATATGGATAAATGATAAATTACTATGACATATGATATCAATATATAATACTGATTATTTAATCTTTTTGTGTGTATATATACTTGATATACGGTTTCCCTAAGAATTACAGGGTCCCCACAGCCCTTGAATGTCCTTGAATTTTGTCCTTTGTCCTTGAAAGTCCTGAATTTTTCCTTTTGTCATTGAAAGTCATTGGAAATAGGTCCAAGTCCTTATTTTATGTCAAATGTCCTGGAATTTACATTTTTGACCTAAAATAAAAAGTAAATCTTTATTGCTGGTTATCTGACTGACCCTATTCCAAATCTTCGATAAAAATGTTAAATTTAATCCAAAATTCACATGTCATTGTCTACTAATGTACTCTAACAAAGTAAGTAGTTTGTTTTGTCCCTAATTTTTACGTGCAGGTGGTGTAGGGGTCTGGACTATAAGTTCATCATTTTAATATTTATTTATTACTCGGTGTTCATATTTTGCTACACAATTGTGTCAATTTCTATGTAGGAAAATACACACTGAGTACTAAATGAAAAATTGTTATAATAGTCAGTATATATATAGTTAAGATCCCTACTCATGCCACCCATGACTAAAAAAAGGGAAAACAAACTAGTTTTAGCAGATACTGTTCTGTGAATTTTGGATTAAATTTAAATATTATTTGTTATTATTTGTAAAGATGTCCTTCAAATGTCCTTGAAGTCTTTGAAAAATAATTCACACTTGTGAGAACCATATGTACTGAGTACCTAGCAGTAATAACATACCATGTAGAATCAACCATCACGAAAAACCAATAAAAAACCAATAATACATTTTCATTCAATATCTGGTATTCTATCTATTTTTATCTATCCATATCTGATATGTCTATCTATATATATATATATATAGCGCCCGAGAAAGAGAGACAAATTGCGAGAGAGAGAGCAGGGTCGTAGCCAGGGGTGATTCCAGGCATTCTGGAATCAGGATTATTCCCCCTGGTTTGTATCAAAATAGCACATATCTGATACAGTATGTATATAAAAGCATGA